ACAGCGCCAAAACTTCTCACTAATTTTTTCCACAACATTGAGTAATTAAAAAGTCTGCAAATGATCCCTAGTCATCAACAGAGTGTCACCATGACTATCTTTTGAACTGATATTAAGACAAGGTGGCACCATTATCTTAATGACGGCAACATTACCACCCCGTGAAGCATTGTTTAGTAAGTTCCTTCCAGCATGCTTTTAAAAGATGGAGATGCTCTCTTGTCTATAAGAAAGTTAATTGCTTCTATCTCAGGTGTATTCTTATATGCTCATAAAAACTGATACTGATTTCATTATCTGCTCTTCTCAACATGAAGTAGCCTTTTTGGGTCATTTTGCTTCTTGTAAAAAATTTCCTCTTTTCCCCAGGCCACCTCGCCCCTGTAATAAGACAATGAATCAAGAGAGCATGGATAAAGCATGGATATAGCATGAATAAAGCATGGTAAGCCTGGATAAAGCATGGATAAAGCATGAATAAAGCATGAATAAAGCATGGATAAAGCATGGATAAAGCATGGATAAAGCATGAATAAAGCATGAATAAAGCATGAATAAAGCATGAATAAAGCATGAATAAAGCATGAATAAAGCATGGATAAGCATGGATAAAGTGTGGATAAAGCATGGAAAAAGTGTGGATAAGGCGTGGATAAAGCATGGATAAAGCATAAATAAAGCATGGATAAAGCAGGGTTCCACGGGATTACAAAAATAACACAAATTACTTGTTGCTAAGACATCATTGTCACTTTTGTCCTTTTTGTCAGCGAAGTGGGTCACAGGTCTTTCTGCCAGTACAGTTCTATTTTTGCAAGAATCTGAGGATAAAAAGACATTGTTACTGAATAAGCAGTGTTATTTTTCTTTTACCAACATCAATAAATCATATTACACTTAACAAACATTCTGGTCATATGCAACAGAATTTCTATGTTATTAGCCCAGGGGCGGGGACTCCCATATCAAAAGAATGGGGGTGTGCATCAGAAAAATTTTTAAAAGAACCCCTGAGAGGTGCCATTAGATACTTTGTGAGTGTGGCTTGAAATTTTTTCACCTATATAAGAAACCAATTTGAAAAACAACAGAGTAACTGACACTGACTTTTTTTAGCACAATACCCCAAAAGGTACTGCAAAAGCTCCTGCTGAGGCCCTGCTGAGGATGAACACCCTAAGAGCTACCAAACCCGTTTTTTAACCCCTAAAAGGTACAACAAGCAGCAGTGTACTTTTTATAAGGGAATTCCCCAGGGGGGTATTACCGGTAGGTCAAAATTATGAGTAAAAATAGTTTGAACTAAAGAAAAAAATATGCCTTCTTAATCAAACTATCCCATAACTCTGATTTCTGTAGCATGAACCAGCTATAAGAGAATTGCTTATCCTCCTAGATTGGATACTGGTCTATCTCACATCCTGTCAGGTTGCCTCAACAATTTGCAGGTACACACTGCCTAGGTGATCGCTAATGGGAAATCATCGCTTATGAGAGCTTGGACAATATTGGGTCAAAATTTTGCCTCATTAGCATATGGTAAATGCAGAGACTTCCCCATGTGCCATCCCCATCTAACCCATGTAATAACTTTTTTTAGCCACAAATATATTCTAGCTTTCTAAAATATTTAGTCAGAGTATGGCAATGCTAAACTACCTAATAAGGCAAATAGAACAAGTCCCATATGTTACAAATTGAATCTTGAATGTTGTCTAAATGTTAGGGGGAACTGAACATGAACTAATAAGGATTGGATTGTTAACTTTAATTTTGACAGCCCTTTTATATTGCTGGTGATTTACATGTTAACTGTTGACTGTTCTTGAGTGAACAGTGAATCAGGAAATCATTTCTAATTTTCTGTAATTATAAGACATTTAAGGTTGTGTCTTTTAAGACTGACAGGGTACAATGTATGTGCATTTTTCGTTAATTACATTTTCAAATGTTTTATTCATGTTAAAATTCAATTTCGAGAAAAAATTCCGTACTTCCAAATAAGAAATTTCTGTCTCTTTTACTACCAAAGAATGCGACAATATTGCAACACCTAATTATTCAATTTCTGCTCTATTTTCTATCAAGGGGTTGCTTACGGGAGGTTAAAAACAAAAGGTCATTTCAAACTTTTAACTCTAAAGGTGGTTGCGGTAGCTTATGAGAGGTGGTTGCTTACAAGAGGTTCCAAATATAGACATTTGACTGGAAAACTTTTAGTATTTTGGAAACCTGGTTGCTGAGGAGAGATGGTCGCACCCGGAGGTTAGACTGTAATTACCAGGTGGAGAGAGGCACTGTGAGAGGAAAGAGTCTTTCTCAAGAACACCACACAGAAACGATGACCCTAGCCAGGGCTTGAACCAAGACTGCGAGCAGGCT